TGCAAACCACAGCCCTGCACAAAGAGGCTCTGTTCTCACCAAGCCTCGGGACCCTCCTGGGGTCTTATCCACGCAGAGTCGAACCAGTTTAGTTACAGGTGTGAATTTAAACCTGTTCCGTTAAACCCCTGCCAGCCCCTGTGTGGATACTCTAGCACCAGTCAGAAAAGACCTCAGTATAGTTCATCCTGCCTCAGCGCTGGGGGATGGGAGTAGATGACATCCCAAGATCCCTTTCAGCCCTGCATTTCCTTGATTCTATGGCCTGGTCCACGGTACAGCGTTTGGCTGGCATAGCTTTGCCAGCTAGGATCAGGGCTGGATTAACTCTGCTGTGGGCCTGGGGCTATTAGATTTTGTGGGGCCCCTGTATACAAGTATTTTTCCTAATTTAAAACAAAATGATCAAAATTATACCATTGGGCTATTAATGCTATAATAAACTTGCCTTTTAATTAACATAAGCCATTTTGTGGTTACAGTTTAGTCTTAAAACACGTAGAATATAGTTAAGTTAATTCAAAACAGCCGACTTCTTACCTTAGAACAGCTGTTTTACTAGTTTCTTTCTGGGATGGAGTTTGGGTGCAGGAAGGGGCTCCAGGCTGGGGCAGGGGGTTGGGGTGTAGGAGAGGGTGAAGGGTGTGGGCTCTGGGAGGGAGTTTGGGTGCAGGAGGGGGCTCCAGGCTGGGGCAGGGGGTTGAGGTATAGGAGAGGGTGAGGGGTGTGAGCTCTGGGATGGAGTTTGGGTGCAGGAGGGGGCTCCAGGCTGGGGCAGGGGGTTGGGGTGTAGGAGAGGGTGAAGGGTGTGGGCTCTGGGAGGGAGTTTGGGTGCAGAAGGGGGCTCCGAGGCTGGGGCAGGGGGGTGGGGTGCAGGAGGGGGTGTGAGGTGCAGGCTCCGACCGGGAGGCGCTTACCACAGGCGGCTCCCGGCTGGCAGTGCACCAGGGCTCAGGCAAGCTGAGCTGCCTGCCTGCCATAGCCCCATGCTGCTCCCAGAAGCGGCTGGCTACTGGCACGTCTCTGTGCGCCCCTGTGGGGAGGGGGACAGCGTGTCTCCGTGCTCTGCCTGCACCCGCAAGCGCCGCCGTTGCAGCTCCCATTGGCCGGTTCATTGCCCCCCCCGCGACCAGGGGTTGCAGAGACGTGCAAGCAGTCGGCCACTTCCAGGAGTGGTGTAGGGCCACAGCATGCAGGCAGCCTGCCTGAGCCCTGCTGTGCCGTTGGACTTTTAGCAGCCTGGAGATCACGATTGACTAGCAGAGGCTCCAGGATCAACCAGTTGATTGTGATTGATGGGTTGGTGACCACTGAATTGTCTATAATTATGGATTTATTTTTGTGGGGCTCCCCTTAGCCTGGAGCCCTGGGCTGCCTAAAACCCCTGCGTTAATCTGGCCCTGGTTAGGAGTGTTAAAACAATCACTCCTGCTTCCCGACATGGCTACACCAGCCAGCCCCTGGAGTAGACACAGCTATACCCCCAGAAGAGTGCTTCTCACACCGTAGCTAATGGCCTTTGGGGAGGTGTGTAGCTATGCTGGGAGAAGAACTGCTGTCTTATGCTGTGTCTACACTAGAGGGTTCTGCTGGCACAGCTATACCGGCCAAGGCTCTGTAGTGTTGACACGGCCTTCGATTCCGATCTAGCAGTGCCTTACCTCAGGGCTGGTCGACACTACAGAGCTTTGCCGACATTGCCACTCCAGCAGAGTCGCTGGTGGATATGCAGCAAATGGTGCTCTTCCGCCGGCATAGCCACACCACCTCCCCGAACGCTCTTCTGGCAGCATTGTTGCATCTACACCAGGGGCTTTGCTAGCAGAGCTGTCAGCTGGGGTGGGAGGTGATTGTGTAATGCAGACTAATCATAAGTCATTCATGAACAGGATTCAGCTAAACCAAAATAAACCACCTTTAAACCACAGTAAGCATCTACACATGGTCTATGTGGGTTTAACTAACCCAGTTTGCACACGGAGCAGGCCTTGGTGTTTCCAATGGTTTTAGCCTCTTTACCAAGGCAACACATCTCTCCCCCCACCTGGCCCCGCGGCCCCACCAAAGCCATGCTGCATTGAGCGGACTCACCTCCAGAACGTTCTTCTTGCTGGATTTCTCTTTGGGAGCCCAGGACACGGCAGCCCCCCGCAGATCCACAGTATGCTCGGGTGAGGTCAGCATGGAAGGGTGTTTCTGGAGGAAGGAAAGAGGATGGTCATGCCCAGGGAGACACTGGGCTCTGTTCATAGGAGCAGAGCAGCGAGGCTGTCACAGGGTGGAGAACGTTTGCTCTACATGGGCTATAAAACCAGCCATGTGGGCAGGGGTCCCATGTCTGTCCTTGGCATTTCCATCGGGCTCAGAGCTGGGTGTGGACGGACCGAGGCAGGTACAGCCAGTGCTGTCCTACCCTCCTGCCATCACCCCTCTGGTGGGGTTCCTGCCAGGGACACAGGTCTCTATAGGCAACGTGGCTGCAGGTACGAAGGGGAACCCAGCCCGGTGCCAGACCCAGCACAAGGTGGCTAGACCCTGGATGAGAGGACCCCGATCTGCTCCTCGTTCCATCTGAGCTGGCAGAGGGCAGCCCCTCCACACTCCAACTGCCATGGGCCATCGGGGGGCTAGCCAATGGAGACAGGCCATGCCATGGGAACACAGAGTAGGGATTAGAATCTAGGCCTTTTGGCTCCCGGCCACCAAGTGCCTCTCACAGGACACCTCGCCCAGAGTCAGTTGTACCAGAACCAGCCGATCAGAGGTTCATACGGTTTCATTCCATTGGCGCAGTGTGGTGATTGGGCCTGCAGCATATCTGCTGCATCACTGAGCCCAAGCAGGCAAAGATCATGAGTCAGGCTCCAAAAAACCATCCGATTGGCTTAAAAACCATGAGTTTAAAATACTACTACTACTACTACTGTGGGGTGTTTTCCTTTGCCTCTGGGTGCTGGAGCCATTTGGGGTTGTGTTTCCCAGCTTTTTCTCCACAACCATGAGAGTAGAAACTTCCTTTTTTAAAACTGAAAGCTGAAATTCTCACCTAATTAGGGTGACCAGATAGCAACTGTGAAAAAAACAGGACAGGGGGTGGGGGGTAATAGATGCCTATATATGAAAAAGTCCCAAAAAACTGGTCTGTCCCTTTAAAAACGGGACATCTGGTCACCCTACACCTAATCATGTTTGCAGGAGTTGGGGCTTAAAGAAAACCATCAAAGATCACGAGACCTGGGATGAAGCCACAAGAGGTGGCGGAACTCTCTCCCATTCTGCAGCATCTCAGCTTTCATTCAAAACAAAACCGCTCGTGGTTGCAGAGTGAACCACCCCAGCAGAAGCAGGGTGGGACTTTGCAGTGACGCCTGCAGAATGCCTGAAACAATAGCTCCGAGAAGAATGAACTCTGCCGGTCCCTAGTCATCACCTCAGGCAGCGGGGTTGGGGTAAAACTCCCTGATGACAACTGACTATTTCATTTGTGCCTCCCAGTGAGGTCACCGGGCGATGTGCGTGCGCTGAGGGGAGTTTGCAATTCTAAACGGATGCGCATGGGCCATAATTAAAAATGTAATTCAACCCTCCCCTGGACTGGACACCAAGATTGCCCCGAGTATTTCTAAGACTAGGGCAATACTAGAAACTTTTGCCTGGATAGCAATAGCAGGTAGGGATGCAATCTTTTTATGACATTTTAATACGGGCAAAAGCCCTAGTGTGGACACAGTTATACTAGCCAAAAAGTCCTTTTGCTGGGAGAGCTTATTTTGAACTATACCAGCAAAGCCACACTTTTGTTGACGGAAGCTGCATCTCCACTATAACTGTGCCTAAAGGAGCCTAGACCTAAATACCAGAGGGAGCAGAACTCACATCTGAAGCAATCTGGGGCCTTGGCTACACTTGCAGCTGTACAGCGCTGTGAGATAAACCTGTCTTCGTACAGCTGCGTAGGGAAAGCGCTGCAGTCTGTCCACACTGACAGCTGCCAGCGCAGTGGTGTGGCCACATTTGCAACATTTGCAGCTGTGTTGGGAGCGGTGCATTATGGGCAGCTATCCCAGCATTCATGTGTCTGCTCTTTTCCAAACAGTGGGGGGTGGAGAGTGACGGGGAGCGTGTGGGGGGAGAGAGTGTACTTTTTGGAGCGTGTCAGCACTCTATTTTGCAAGTTCCGAACTCCCGGCCCCCTGCTCATTCATTCACTCACTCAAAGAAAACAGCAAACTATTTGCTTTTTCTCTGTGGTACGAGCTTTGAAACTGGCACTTCCGCATTCCTGCAGCCGGTCACAACGATGGAGAGGATTGGCCACTTGACAAGGTGACCAGTACAGCGCTGCAGGTTGATTCCTGGTACACACTCACAGGGGAGAGTCGTAGCCACTCCGCTGTATCTCTTACGCTTCTCGGGGAGGTGGAGTACCCGCAGCAGTGTACCCAGGGAGATACAGCGCTGTACGTGCCTTGCCAGTGTAGGCGGTCAGTGAGTTACAGCGCTGGGGTTGGCTTTACGGCGCTGTAACTCGCAAGTGTAGCCAAGGCCTGAGTGAGGAGGCGGTGACGGCTAGGGGCCAGCACGGAATTCTCCCATAAAGGGGAGGAACGTCCCTTCCTGGATGCTCTCTCTGGTAAGTCAGTAATACTGGCATTGGGTACGTGGTTATCTGTTTTGTGTCCGGGGGGTCAGGGCTCTGGTGTGCATGTGGTTTGCTGGGTTTTTCTAATAGAACACAGCTTTCCACTGGGAAATGTCAGTGAAATACCCAGGCACTTTGCTATTCCACAGGGGATTAAAGAGTCTGTCTGCTCCAACCTCGTGGGTGGCGACTTTCCACAGAGCGAATATACCCCGAGAACTAATCCGGAATAAGGGAGGGTTTGAATTGCAAGAGCAATATTTATTTCTGATTAATTCCCTGTACGGACTCTCTTGTTCCAGAAGAAGAGTGCCGTTTTCTGGGTTAGCCATTTCTGTTCCACAATTGCTCTTCTGCTCAGGTTCCCCAGGCAGACAAGCCCTAAGGCAGTTAGGAACCCAGATCCCATTAGATTTCAGTGGGGATTTGGCACCTTATTCCCTGAGGTTCCTTTGAAATCCCAGCCCCATCGTCCACCAGTCAGGAAATTGTATCAGGCATTTCAGCGGGCTGAAGGGCTCCCTGGATGCATCATTTTTATTAATTTCCCGCCACATGAGCACAGCTCTCCACCCTGGTTGAGCCTCAGTGATGGAGGTTGCAGGAATAGGATGTGGCCCTACAGAGCTCCCAGCACTGTGCGCGGATGTCAACATTGCTGCATCTGGCGAGGGGTCTGCTTGGGGCGTGGAGCTCCTTGCAGATACATTTCTTCTCTCGCCCTCATTCTCTTCCCCTTGCCGCAAAATGCCGCCAAAAGTGTTGCAAGCCCACACCAGCCCTGAGCTGTGTGACAACGCGCACCAGTGCTGCGAGCAGCCTTCCCTATTTCGAGCGGCTCTGACCACAGCTCAAAGGCCACGCGAGGGAGTTCTGGGTTTCCTTTGTCGCTGGTGGTAACTTACTCGCGTCTCTTATTATAAACACTAATCCGGGAGGGGGAAAACAGCCCTTGCAGAGCAACTCTGTCTCTTTCCCTGCTGAGTCACTCCACTAGCATCCAGCGCCTAGAAGGGGTCTGGAAGCCACATGAACAGGGGGCTTTTGAATGCAAACCACACACTCTAGGGAACATCACCCAATTTCAGATTCCAGAGCGGGATTCGACTGGTCAATCGACTGTCAAAGCCCTGGCTGGGATGATTTAGTTGGGGTTGGTCCTGCTTTGAGCAGGGGGTTGGACTAGATGACCTCCTGAGGTCTCTTCCAACCCTAATCTTCTAGGATTCTATGGTCCCACTATTTTCAGGGTCAATTGGGAGACAAGTCAGCCAGGCCCAGAGTCTGCTTGCACACTTCGCTCCTTGCAGAAAGCTTGCTCGGTACCTGGGAAGCGTCTCCTGCAGGGTGATGAAGGAGGGAGGGTACAAGCCAGAGGCTGCACAGGGAAGGGCTGGGAAATTGTGCTGGTGAGCAGCCTGCAGCCTGTCAGCAACTCCCAACCTGGGCCTAGCAAGGACAGTAGCCAAAGGCTGGCAACTCACCAAGCTGCTGGAAGACAAATGTTTCGACTCCTTAAAAAAGGTCAAGATGCCCCCCTCCAGGACAGTCCAGGATGAGCTCCAGTTCTTCCTGCGGGAGGAATGGTGAGGAAAGCATTAAACCCAGATGTCGGTTACGCTGGCAGGACCCTGTTCCCATGCTGCCAGCTGAGGAAGGGAAGGTGGGGGGCAGCCCTATGCATGGCACAGCCCCTTCTCTCAATGGCCTCCTCACTTCCTAAGGAGACACTGGTCCCTTCATTGCTGGTTGGTCCGGGAGTTCTACATAAAAATCCTCCTCCCTGTGCTCGGAGCTGTACACAGGGAGAAGTGCCAAGTTTGCTTGTCTGTAGCCAGATGCTGGCACAGCCCTTTGCTGTCCGGGAAGCTGGGCGGCCTGGAAAACTTACCAGTAGAGGAGGGGAGGTTAGACCCAAATGAACATTATCTACCTAACCCTGCATCCCACCGCAGGCCGCTCAGGCTGGGGCAGGGAGCTCCTGGCAAGTTCTGCTCAAAACGTGAATGTTTGCAAAAGCAGGTGCATAGATTTCAAAGCCAGAAGGGACCATTATAATCTCGTCTGACCTCCTGCATAATAGCTGGGAGCTGCTCTAGGTTCTGGCCCCCCCAGGACTGCCCATGGGCCCCTCTTCAGCCAGCAGGGAGTCCCCAGAGCAGTGAGCTGGGATACTGCAGCCCTTGGGTCTACACCGCAGAGCAAGTCTGGGGGATCGTCTCCGGGTTGGCCTAGCCCAGGTGTGAGCAGCCAGGCTGCAAAGCCCTGCCAGCGTCACTGGGACCTCAGTGGTGCTGCATTCCCCAGTGCGTGTCACTAGGATTTCAGGGGGGCAGCCCCCAGTTCTTTGTGCCGCACTACGCTGAGCCGCTCCATGATCCTCTGCCCTGGTGGGCACACAGGAAGGAATTGTGGGAAGACGCTGGAGGGTTTCTGTGTGGGCGGATTACCAGACCCAGGGCTGTAACCAAGACCCCAATGGGCCAGCTAGGCCGAGTTGAAAGTGCACCCCACTTGGGTATGGGAGTTGTGTGTGGGGATGGGACGGGGTAAACGCCCAGGAGACAAACCCCTGCACAGAACTTGTACTGGCGGAATTGTCCCCTAGTCAGCTCCGTGACTGTCCTGGCCCCTGGAGGATGGTGCAGTGATGTATAAGGGCCATACCAGGAGAGCAAATCCCTCCTCAGTCTCGTCTTGGAATGGAGGCTGGATCTTGCCAAATTTGGAGACATTTGCAGAATGCATCAAAAATGGTGGCAACACCCTCAAAGAGCAGGACTGGCTGAGACTTTCCTAGTTTAGTCTCCCTAGCTCAGGTGCTTCCAGGGCCCACCTCACTCTAGTATCTGAACAGGCCTGTGGGATGCGGCTACCACCACACTGCACACATGGAGAAGTGCAGCACCGAGAGACACATGGAACACGCCCACGCTGCCGGCGGGAGGTGACTGCAGCACGCATAGACAGACCCAAGCTACCTCTAATTAGCTAGCCCAGGTACCAACAGCAGCGAAGCCTGGGGCAGAACAGACTTCAGCGCAGGCTGTACGATCCCACCCGTACCCTGAGTACTGGCTTGAGTGGCTCGCCAGCACTGGAGAACACACTGCTCTGGGCACTTGGGCTAGCAAGATCCAAGCTAGCTCGGGTCTGGCTGTGCATGCTGCAGTCACCCCCTGGTTGCAACACAGCGACACCCTGAGTGACCTGCCCCAAGATCACACAGGAAATCTGTGACCGAGCGGTTAATAGCGTGAACACAAACAACTCACTAGTGACCTGTCTCCCTTTAGTGAAAGATCAAGCAGGACAATCCCCAGCCCCCCCAAACCTTCAAAGCAGGGAAATAAGAAGTTATGGGAAAAGTCTCCTTTATTCCTTGCCTACAGCACTGTTAGGAACACACCGCCAGGTGCTCAGAGGGTTTTACTCCCATCTCCAACCATACCCCACAGCAGCACGTCCCCTGGATCTATTCACAGACTGGAAAGGAGGGGAAAATGTTCAACAGGGAAGGTCATTAGCCACCGAGGGTTGTCAGTGATGGAGAATCAAGGTTGGACATTTCTCTAAAAGCTCTGCTCTGGGAATTATTGTCTGCTCTGTGGAAGGCAGCGAGTCAGAAGTCTGCCCTGGTGCTTGTCATGCTGAGACTCTCTTACCGTAATCGCTTTCCTTTATCAGCTGTTTTTGTCCGGTAAAGAACTCCGGCCTTGTCCAGGCTTTTGAACTGAAATCAAAGATAAGTCAGGGGTTAAATCTGCTCCGTGAGCATTTCCAAGGGAAACTGGCTTTCAAACAGCCGATCATCAGGGCCACTGATGGAGTGGCCACAATGCCCTGGTGCCATCTCCCTCCCCGCCCCGTAAGCACCTGGGAAACGCCCATGGATTTTCACTTGGGCATCTGGATCACAAGCTCACCAGGAAAATAACTTGCCCCAGGGCCCTATTTCAGGAAGTGCTCGGCGCACACGCTTAGTTGGAAGCCCACACGAGCAGGCCCACTGAAATCCAGGAGGTGACCCACGCCTTCAGGTCAGGCACATGCTACAGCACCTCCCTGACCCGAGGCCCAGTGGCTGCCCACTGACAGGGTGGGGTCAGGAGTCTGGGGATCCCTGCAGCTGTCCTTTATGGTCACAATCGCTCCACAGCTACAGTACCCCTTGAGTTAGCCAGCCTGGCCACTACAACAGCTGCCCGGCCCCGGCCGTATGGGTGCCCCCCCGGGACCCGGGCAGGTGAACAGAACTTTTTGGGGAACGGCACCAAAGGGCAGAGTTCAAGTCAGATCTGCTGACGGCTCCAAAGGTGCCAGCATGACCCCACTAGCAAAATGAGCCCAGCCATCTCCCTCACCTTCTCCTCTTTCTGGATGAGGATGGCTGGCATATAGTTGTGCCAGCTGGCAAAGGGGCTGCTGTCCTGGCTGGACCCGCTGCTTGCTCTCCGGCGACCCCCTGGCACAGAGACCTGGAAGCAGATACCAGTTAGTCACAAACCGTATTTATCACCAACGCTGAGAGCCCCAGCCAGCAAACCCCATTGTGCTGGGAGCTGTACAGTAGAGAACTTCCTCTGAACACACACCAAGATTGGGAGGAGAGGGGACAGAAGCAGCCAAGGAGCAGGGACTCACCCAAGATCACCCAGCAGGGCAGAGCTGGGAATAGAACCCAGGTCTGTTGCATGCCAGGCCAGTGCCCTGCCCACAGGGCCATGCTGTCCTCCACTTTCCTGGCACCTCCTCTGTGCCCTCTGGCGTCACTCTGCTGGCTGGAGTGACTCACTCCCTGACCAAGGGTGGCAGCGGGCAAAGCAAACCCACTATGCCTGGCCTTCATCTTCATACTGTAGCCAGTACCTGATGGCTCAGAGGCCAACCCCCGGCTAGCGTGAGAATTTCTGCGAGGCTCAGGGCACAGTCTGTGGCGTGAGATATGACTGCCCTGAGCTTAGCAAGCAGAAACCCTGATATCACTGGCCAGCCCGTTCTCCAGCCCAGCCCCAGCCACATGGCCCCACAAGCCGGGCACCTGGCAGGGAACGGAGGGTTTGCTTTAAAAGTATCTGCCATTAGCTCCGCTGAGCAGGCCCCGTGCAGAGACTACGGAACAGTGCTGGGGTGGGGCAGGCTCCCCTCGGCACAGCCCCGCCCGGGGCTGGAGAACGCCAGTGTTTGCAGGGAGCCCTGTATGCCCCCAGGAGCAGGGGACTGGCTGCCCTGGAGCGATATGGGGCTTGTGCTGGGGCAGCGGCCCCAGCTCGGAACTCCAGGCTAGGCAGAGCCCCAGACTAGGTGGTCTCTGGGGCAGGGCCCATGTTTGGTACGTGCACATACAGCACCCAGCGCGGGGGCGCAAGGTCTCGGGGCACCCCCACTGCTCTCGCTCTGTCAGGAGTTCTGGCCTTGCCGCGGGAAGGTTCTCTGGCCTGGGCCATGCAGGATGGATGGGAGGGTCAGCATGGTCCCTTCTGGCCTGGAAACCCACCAACACACATTTGGCAGCGACAAGACGCTCAGCGCTGGGCAGCTGTGGGATCCTGCCCCCTAGTGGGCAGCTGTCACCGCAGGGCTTCCCTCCTGGCTCGCCCTTGAGCGCCAGCCTGCCACGGCCGCTCCCTCGGGATCGTGGGCTCCTGTCCTCCACCCCAGACCCACCACAGGGTGTGTGGGGAACTTCTACCCTCCCGGCTCTTCCATCCCCCACCCTGACACAGTGCCCCCCAGCTGTCTGTAAGCCCGATCGTCCCCCTTCCCCTTTCACGCTGCTGCCTCCAGCTTGGCCCCAAGCCCTGGGGCCGGCGCTTTCATCACATCATTTGTGGGTTTTCCAGTCGTGCCTAGAGCCCCTCCTGAGATCAGAAGCCCAAGGCGCCAGCCCCTCCCCCCCACATCGAGCCCTCAGCCTTCTCCTCACCCAGCCCTGCTGCCCCAGAGCTTCTGAGCATCAGCACTTTAATGCTGGGAACTCCCCAGCCGTCACCCCCCAGACTCCTCTCAGCCCCCAGCCCCGCCGCTCTGCACAGACACTCCTTCACTCCCACCGAGCCGGCTGAACTCTCTCACTCCCCGCCCTGACACTGGTGGCACCCGCTTCCTTCGCTCCTGCCCCCTCACTGCTGAGACCCTCTGGGGAAATCCAGCGCTTGGGCGGACTGCGCCCACCTTCCCTGGGGAACAGCTCTGTGCCCCGCACGGACGCCGGGCCAGTCTGTTCTCGGCCTCTCTCCCCAGGTACCCCTCCGCCACCTCCACAGCCCAGGGGCTTGCCAGATCATTAAAAGGGCAGGTTGAGTCTCCAGCACACATCATCCTCCCCTTCCCTATGCTGCCCCACTCCCCTTCACCCCTCCCCACACTCCACTTCCACCCCAACTTCTTCCCCAAGAGCCATCAGGCTCCATTTCCTCTCCTTTCAAACCCCATACGTCCTGCCTGGCCCTCGTCCCCCTCCAATGACTCCCATCCCCCCACCAGCTCCGTACCGTCTCCGAGGCGTAATGGTCAGGATAGAAGGCTTGCCCCTCGGGGTTGTTCTGGCTGCACCAGCCCGGAGAGGGGCTCAGCTCTGCCGAGTGCCTGGGGGATCTCCCTGGCAGAAGGTAAGGGTAGGTGCTCTGCTCGTAGGACCCCACCGGAGAATAGTCCTCCTCCGGGTAACCATCCAGCTCCTCGGGGGACAGGTCCGGATAGTCCGTTTCCGGAGTCGGCGGCTGAGAACGTAAGAGAGGTCACCTCTGCGCACCTCTCTGCCTCCCCCACTCTCCCTGTGCCCTGCCAGGGTGTGCTCCCCAGACCCCCTCGCAGAGAGGAGAGAATCCAGCAGGATCCTGGAGATCCCCAGCACTTCCCTGGGTTATTCCCCAGACCAGCACCAAGAATCTACCCGCACGGTTGGCGCTGTTCCATTCTGCACTTCACCAAACCCAGCCATCACCCCGCGCTCCCCAGAGCTACTGGCTTGGGCTCCCCCTTGTGCCCCCCTCCTGGACCAGCCAGCTTTTCTCTCACTCCTGCTCCTCCTGGTGGCTCACCCTCTGGTCCATGGGTCCATACTGTGCGATTGCAGGCTGCATCTCCTGGGCGCTGGGCTCGTCCGCAGCCGGAGGCGGCTCCCACGATGTCTCACCCGTTACCGAATTATAGAAAAACACCTCGCCGCTGGCATCATCCACATACTGGCCCCATTCGGCCGCCGCGGGACTGGGGGCAAGAGACGGCGAGGGAGAGGGAGCAGGACTCACTCCATCTTCTGGGCACCCGAACGGGGAATCCCAGGTGGTCTCGCCCGTCACAGGGTTGTAGTAGAACAAGTGCCCGCTGCCCGTGTCCGTATGGGTCTCCCAGTCCGCAAGGACACTGCTAGGGCAGTCCTGGGGTGGGGAGGGGTCAGTGGCTGCTGATTGCTGTCGGAGCTCCTGTATGTTCACATACACCGGGGTGGGGTTCTTCTCCTCCTCCTGGCAGGCCTGGGGAGAGATCGGGACCACAGTCTGTCAGGCTGGATTTGGAATGGCAGCACGGGGCGGGAGACGACATGGGTGGGGTCTGGGCAGGGATGGCGAGAGCATTCTGGTCGGACCATCAGAAATGCGCCGGCCGCGGTGGGGAGAACAGCCGACGGAACCAGGGTTTCTGGGAACTCATGGTAGGGCTCTGGCTGCCAGAGGGACATTGCTGCACTGTCAGGCCAGGCTCCCTCCCGGGACTGCTAAGCCCATGTATCCCAAACCCATGAGCCAGGCCCCAAAAGTCATGAGTTTAAAAGATTATAAATACTGCGGCCCGAGGCCCTTCTGGGTTTCAAGCCCTTGGGGGTCATGTTTTCCAGCTTTTCTCCGCCTAGGAACTCACTCTGATATCAATGAGAACTAAGATCTCACAAGACTCCAGGAGCTGGGGCTTTAAAAACCAAACAAACACCGTCATGAGACTCATGATGGAATTGTAACCATTGGCAACTCAGCCTCTGCAACCCTGAACTCCAGCCATGGGAAAGAGTCCAGTACTCACCTCTGAAACACATCCTCATGGGGCACGCCAGGTTTCACTCCCCTCCCCCACTGCTGCACCAGGCTCTTCCCAGTCCCCCCCAGGAGAGCCCCAACATTGCGGTTTTGGAGCCTTCACTCACAGCCCCACACTGCCAAGCCATTCATTCAGTCTCCCAGGCCACGCAGCCAGCCCTCCACCTGCCTGCCCCCCACAGTGGGCATCACAAGCTCTACCTCACCTTCTCCTGGCCCCCCAGGGTGGAGAGGGCATTGCGAGAGAGTGCTGCAGTCTGGCTATCCCTGCTCAGCACAACCACCCTCAGGGGCATTGCAGCCGGTGGAGGAGCTCAAACTAGCCCCCTTAACGCTGAGCTATTTTTGCTGGCAACATACTTTGTACATATCTGGGGACAAAATGACACTACAAAGCCCCTTCTACAGAAAGAATATTGATAATGTCACTAGAGATACAGCTGGATAGAGATCCATTATTGTGAGTACACAGGGCAAAAACTACACAGTGCTACACTTGCACTTGAGGTCTAAAACTAGTGGCATGGTAAGGCAGTGTAAAACCAGTGTGTTGCACGCAATAAAAACCCAGCACCTGCTCCTGTAATTGAGCTGTTTCCTATGCATGAAAGGGAAGGGCAGAAGAGGAAGGATGGCCTAGGGGTTAGAGCCCTCACTTGCGAGAGCTCAGTTCAATTCTCTTCCCTGCCACAGACTGCGTGATCTTGGGCAAGTCACTTAATTTCTCTCAGCTCCCATCTGGAGCAAGGGGAGAATAGCCTTGCCCTGCCTCGACCTCGGGGGGGGGGGGGGAGCATTGTGAGGTGCTCAGATAATCCAGCAATGGGTCCCAGGCAGCAGACTGAGGCGGGGCCAGCATCCTTTTGCATTTGTACAGGTTTCACCAAATTGATTTAAAAAAAACCCAACCAACCAATCCGCACACTTGTAGTTAAAGCAGGGTCACTTTTTTGGTGCCAATAAGCCTAAAAACCAAACTGCTTCTTTACATATCTAGATTTAATCGTCCAAATTTGGACATTTTGGCCCAATTTAATGGAACATGAAAAATGTCCAGTTCCCTCTGGAAAGTCAGGGAATGCACACCCTCAGAACATTGTCAATTTTCTGATAAATCCCCTTTCAATTGCAGGAAATTTTAAATTTTCCTACTACAAACATATAAAGCTTTCCCACCACGCCCCTGTGGCGTTTCTAAATGTCATCTGAGCAAGAGGGAAGACTGGCTTATTGACTGTACCAGGAAACTAACTGGCTTCAGGTAAACTGCTGTCACATGCCCAAAGGAAATGAGCTGATAAGATGCAGACAGTTGTTTTCTCCTTGTGATCGCTGTAGTTCTATGATCGTATGTGTTATTGGAGCTATAATGGGTTCAAAGTTTTCACACAGAAACACCGAGAGTTGATTGCCCCGCAGCGTCTCACGCCCATCTCCCACGGTACACAAACAGAGCCAGCAATCTCAGTTGAGAACCCAGCCAAAGGGCAGGCGAGGAAACTGAGGCATTGAGCAGGGAGGTGACTTGCTCACACTCACACAGGCAGAGCCAGGAACAAAAGCCACTTCTCTCACCTGGCACCCTGTCCCCATCCGCTGGCTAGACCAAACTCGGAGGCTGCTCAAGCCAACCTGCTGCCCTAGGCAGAACTTCAGTGTGACGCCCCCTTCTTGGTGCTGGAAACTTTGCTCCCCACATATGAGAACCTGAACTCAGCAGAGGTGTGACAAGGGGGGGGGGCTCAGGGGGCCCAGGTGCCCCCCTTGGCCCCTGGCTGAAGCTGGGAGTTGTAACTGTATTGCCCCTTACCTTGGCCCAGCCACCCCACCCACATGATGGAAGGGCAGCTGGGCCAGCTGGAGTGGTGTTGTGACCCCATGTACCGTGTCACAGCACCAGTCACTCAGAGCTGGCCTGGTCGCCCCCCCCTCCCCACTGTTGCAGTCCTTCAGGCGCCACTGCAAATGTCACCAGCCAAGCACTCAAAATAACCAACCCCCACCCCCACTCCTCCCAGAAATCTGCCACCTGCGGCAGCTGCCTAGAGGTAGAGCAGCCCCTGACCACAAGGTCCCCACCAAAGGTTCCCATAGCAATCACCGCTTTCCCAGCCTCTCCCCTCTCTTGGGCATTCTGTAGCTTGGGTTGATTCTGCCCAGTTGAAACTCATTGAATTATTTTAGGCCCAGGATACTATTCCTCTCCAGGCCCCATTTGCCACAGTCCCCCCCGTCAGTGTTGCTGGCTATATTTACCAACATGCTACCTACTTCCTCTTCCTTTTCAAACCGGTGATGGAGACAAACTATTTACAGACTCAACATCAGTCTCTGGGGCGATTCACGGAACCCTCCACAACGTAACACGATTCCCATCTCCGTCACCCTTTGTCACAGATCTATAGCAGAGCCCCCAGCCACGCCAAGACACGTTTACAATCCGGGCCCGATCCCCTGAGCCTGTCAACTGAAGCCCACTCCAGGGTATTGCGAGTGCTGAGTGGTAGGATGCTGCACCCTCAGCTTAGCCCATAAGCGACAGTTACTCTTCCTTGCTGGCTAAGATCTACGCTTCCGCACCTGGGATGAGCTGAACAAACGCAAGAGCCTGCTCCGAGTTCTGGGCAGCGCTTTAGGAGCATGGGTGTCCATCTTCCAGCCCCCGGGACCACGAAGAGGAGCGAGCGCGGGCGCTTTGGCGGGCAGGAGCGTCACAGCAGCAAAGCAAAGGGAACTGGCCCCTAGCGAGAGGCCAATCGAGAGAGGAGAGAGACTTCCCCAAACCTGCCCTGATATGGGCCTGAGCCTTTCACACGTTTCCTGTTGGGGTTTGTGGGGCGGAAGGGTTGCCGTGGTTACACAAGTTTCAAGTTATGCATAATTAGTTATTTGTTGACATTTTACATATTCTTGCAACCTGGCGGCTGCATTCACGCTTCTAAAAGTGGCTCGCTGGTGGCGAAAATCTGAGCAGTAACTTCTGGGACTAGGTTGGATCGAGGGGAAAGAGCTAATATTTAACCCACCTTCAAAGATTTGCTTTTCTAAAGATTCCCTCCAGAGCCAGAAAAGTCTCATCTACACAGAGGACTGTTAAATTCCCACCTCCCGGGAGGAAAGTGAGACAAACACCATCCGGGGACTGGCAAAGAATAGAGCAAGGACTGAAAAACACTGATGCACTTGGCTCGGCTGCAGGGAAAGGATGCAGCCAGTTGAGGGCGCCTCTATCCAGCTCAGCATCCAGCCGGCAGAGGGCTCCATAACCCCTATAGGAAAAGGAGCTCCCATGGGGCGGTCAGGGAGCAGGGGGCCAGGCAAGGAAGCAGCCTGTGGCTTGCCAGGGAACAGGAGGCGTGGGGGCAGCGGCAGGGTGTGACAGCAGGACAGCAGGAGTGAATGGGCCGCAGCGAGAGTGCAGACCAAAGAGCCGGCCATGGGTTGGCTCTGCAGGCCAGGGTGTGTGTGTTGGCATTGCTTCCAGAGGAGGCGTGGCCCTAGACTAGTCTGGGGAGCTGCACCCCACACAGTTACCCTTGACCCCTTCAGGGGGCTGCCCTTAGGGGCTGGGTTAGGAACAGGGGTGGCATTCGTTGACTTGTAGTCCTGGTGCCCATGGAGTTGGCAGCTTGTTCCTGGCAGCCCTCCTGAAGGAATCCTCCGTCACCTGGAACATGCGAGTGGTCACGGGAATCCACCAACAAGCCCAGTACCCGGAGCACCTGCAGCACTCGCCTCTGTTCCCAGTGCGCCCAGCGCACTACCCAACCTCTCCAGGGGACTGGACCTGCCGCACGCCCAGCCGCGCCTGGCAGGAGGCCGGGTTACAACAGTCCAGCCGTGTGACAATGGAGAGTTAAAGTTCCCATCTGAAACTCAGCGTGTGCGTTAGTCGATCTTGTGTCGCACTAATGTGGTGATTTGGTTAAAAAAAGAAACCAACAATCATGCCTCTTTGAGAGGAGCTGCATGTGCAAGGGTATGAGTTCACACCAGCTCTCTGATTTACCAGTCAGCAACAACCAGCTGAAAACACTGAACAAGTTCTCAAAAGCCACTGAAGAGCTCTCCCTTAGATTTTCAGAAACAGCATCTCCCAGGGCACGGGGGTGGCTCAATACACCCGGAGGAGACCTACTCCAGAGTAAAACATGGGCAAAGCAACAACCCATTCAGCAACATTTGCCTGAGTCTGCAGACAGGGCGGACAAATTCCAATTAGAATTTAGGCACAAATCTGTAGCTTCTCCACCCAGCAAACTGGAGGGTGCACACAGGGAAATGAAGTGGGGGGAGAAAAGAAGTGGCTGGAGGTTTTCACTTTTTGCAAAACTTTCCTCAGCCCTGACTCAGCAAGGCACCTAAGCACACATGTAATCTTAAGCATGGGAATAGCCCCGCTAAATCCAATGACTCACATGTTTCAAGTTAAGCATGTGCTC